GCCGAAAAAGCTCCTAAAAGTCTTCTATATACAGAAAACTTCCGTATGTTGCTAATACAAAGAAGACAATTCAGTGACAAATTATAATTTTAAAAAATGGTATGCCAAAAAGGCGAATTTAAGAAATATAAACTTTAGATATTCAATTCTCAACACAACACGACCCTAAAACTGCTCAGTCATATTGCCATACAAAAATATAATCATTTAAGAACTACGATTCATTGTTATTCCATTAGAAAAACGAAATGAGAATGCGTTATAAATATAAACATTTTCAGGAACTGGAACCGCTTATAGACAATGGGAAACCATCAACCATAACTGAAATGAAATTTATATTATTGGAGCAAAAATACCTGGAAAATCTTGACGATGGTTGTCCTTTGGAAGCTTTGCATGTTTTACGAAATGAACTTACGCCGCTACAACATAACATTTCGAGGGTTCATCAGTTGTCCTCATATATGATGTGTTCAAACAATCACGATCTTTACCAGCGTGCCAAATGGGAAGGTAAGGGAATATTATCCCGAGCCCTTGTAATGGAACGCTTACAGACATATTTGCCTCCCTCTGTTATGATGGCTCCTAGGCGTTTGCGATCCTTACTGCAACAGGCAGTTGAGTTACAGACACAAAATTGCATGTTTCATGATATGGCCTGGGAAACTAATCTGCAAAATGTATCTCTGCTAACGGACCACTGCTGCGCCACCGATGGGTTTCCACTCCAAACAATTCAAATATTATCAGATCATTGCGACGAAGTTTGGTTTTGTAAGTTCTCACCTGATGGCTTGAAGTTGGCTACTGGAAGCAAGGATGGTGCGGTTATAATCTGGGATGTCGATCCCTATAAATTGCAATTGAAGCAACGTCGAGTTCTGGACAGTCAAACCCAAATGAGAGTTGCTTTCATCAATTGGAGCCCCGATTCGAAAATGATATTGGTCGGCGGACCTGAAGACTCTACGGAAATATGCATTTTTAATGTCGATGATGGCCGCCTAATGATGAAAATGGATAACATGAACCAAGAAGATAGCCTATCCTGTGGGGCATTCAATCGTGATGGAACCAGGTTCGTCTGTGGTGGACAAAAGGGACAGTTCTACCTATGTGATCTCAAGGGTACAGTTCTCGATTCATGGGAAGGGGTGCGGATCAACAGCGTAGCGTACAGATCGGACAATAAAACTATATTAGCTGCAGACAACCACTTTCGGATCCGAGGGTTAGTAAATAATTCACATATAATTAAATGAATCTTATATCCTGATTTTCTTTCCTTTTGTGTAGATACAACTTTGAAAATCCTCGGACAGATTTCGATGTATTGAAGGAATCACACCCAATCATGACTTTTTCGGTTAACTCCGCAGATCGTTTAGCACTGCTGAACATTTCAAATCAAGGTCTGCATTTGTGGGACTTGGAGGATAAATGTCTATTGCGTAGTTTTCAAGGTATTCGTCAAAGCAAATTTGCTATACATTCGTGTTTCGGAGGAGTCAATGAAAGCTTCGTAGCCAGCGGAAGCGAAGACAAACATGTTTGCATTTGGCACATAAAAAGAGAAGAACCATTGGCCAAGCTGTCGGGTCACGCAAAAACAGTTAACTGTGTCTCTTGGAATCCCGTTTATCCCTCCCTATTGGCCTCAGCCAGTGACGACTCGACCGTTCGCATTTGGGGTCCCACATCTACACACAACATAAACGCTACACCCGAGAGTGATGATTGCTCTTCGTGTTCATCTTCTTCGTCGTGGAATATGACCTCCTAGAGCATAACAACGGAGATGTCGGACGTCGTTTTAGTGAAAATATCTGGACCCCTTTTGTCATAAGATATTTAATATTTTTGTTTTTAAGTACTCTATCACGCAAATTATAAAATTGCTTCTAGTTAATTGTGATTTAACTAAATTTATTATCGGTAGAGGACCGGTTTACTGATCGCAGTGAAGTTCATTCGGAGACGTGCTGTATCATCCATCACTATTTTCTTTCGAAATCTTTTAATTTTGTAACAACGAATTAGGTGATTTCGTGTTCCATCGCCTCGACACAACCTCGTGAATTGTGTTAATAATTTGTTGTTGCAGAAATTATTCAGCTTTTTAACAACGCTCTTCTTTTTGAGAATGTGCTAAAGAATTATCGAACCTCTACCGTGAAATACTGTCCTATATCTGCCCAGGACAGTGTAATTTAACGAAACGAAACACAGTTTGCAAGACTGCAGGTTCCTTGGGGTAGGGGAGAGAGAGCCCACGTGAAACTGCACCAATAAAGAGGTCTGCCATCATGTGTAAGGGTATACTTGAGATATTTTACACAATTTGCATATATACCATCAATGTGATTCGAGAATATAGAAGTATAAACATATATAATATAGAAGTAGTTTGATTTGTTAAGTGATCACATAATTTGAAATATTCTAAGCTGGAACAACATAGGTATATAAGACTTATTTTTAAACCAATCGCTAATAACATACACGTTTATTTTAAAAATATAGAATCCATTCTGAAATCAAAAACGGTACACTCGAAAGTACCTGATATGTTTTATTTATTAATGGCGCTTAAATATCTATGGCAAAATACTGTGTCATCAGATATTCCTTAAGAACATATATAGAAATCACAACCACTGTCGATATCACAGGTCGACACCGACTTACTACAATATACACGGAAACTAGTGCACACAAATGATGAGCTGTTACGAAGAATCGATGAAGCGATGCACCAAACTCTGTAGTGTTCTCCCGCCAGAGCATAATCGGCAATAGGAAGAATTTAGAAAAGTTTGCGAGTGCGTAAGCTTTCATCATCAGGTAGCTACTATCCATCACGCTAAGGCCGGTTGGTTTCGATCCCAAAGTAATATTTGCAATTACCATTAGCATTGTGCAAAGCAAAAATTCTGCAAAGAGGAACGACAATTGGGAAACCCATAGTTAATCTGTTTGAAACTTACCGCCGATTTTATAGGCACAACAATTATAGAATCCATGTTCATATGGTGGTGAATCGTTGTTGGCTATTTTCAACTTTCGCTCGTTTTCCCCCCTCCACAAGGTTAGCGATTCGAGCAATAACAATATCAGCGACAACTTCCAAAACAACTGCAACGAAACAGGTAATATAAAATAAGCCGTTATCTACTGACTATCCCAGCTATCTGAATATGCCAATGTTCAGCGATGTACCTTAAAATCTCGGTTATGTAGTGCATGGCGGTAAGATGAGTGGGATAGCAACATGAAGTCAACAATTATTATGACAGGTTCGAACTCTATATATTTATCTGCGGTTTTGTGACATTGGTCCTGAAAAGTAATTTCTTATTAAACCATAAATGTTCGTGTCTTAGTCAAATGTTTCCAAACGCTGCATATAAGATTAATTTATTCTATAAATCCGGTAATATGTTAAGCCACTGTTCGGTATTGACCCCATTGAAAAATTGTAAGTCCAACTGACGAAACAATTCGAATAGGGTCGTTTCAATGTTTTTCTAAATTCAATAATTTTATTGAATACAATTCAATAATTGCAATAAATGCAATGGATTTGTAACGCATAACATTTACAAATATTCAAATGTTCAATATCTTCAGTTCCATATGAGATATCGGAAATATTAATCAAAATAATGAGATTATAAGCTTATCAAAAACGGTCTGTTAAGGCAACGAATTTATTCAATATGAAACTGGTATCACGTTAGCCGGTCCAGTTGGAATCGTCCCCTAAAATTGTGTAGAAGTTTTCAATTTTGATGTGAAACCAACAAATCAATTATATTAGATTTTCATACTTGTACGTGTATTAATTTATTGCATTACTATACTTACACAGTTAATAGTTTTAATTATTTTATCATACTTCTTGTATAGATTGCTTTGTCTCTTCCCGCAATTTATGCAGACATAGCACTCCATTTCCACTTCCTTCATCGAATTTGAAGCAAACGTCATACAGCACACGACGAAGAAACAAATACCCAAGACAGAATTGGAAACTACGAGGCCTCTTAGAAATCCGACGCCGTAAAAGTTAGATGCAATGAGTTGAAAACATCAAAAAATTCAGTGTTCTGGAGATCGAAAACAGAGTTGGTCAAAGGATGTACGGCGTTTCCACGGCACTATTTTTTTTTTTTTGTTTTGAAATTTGACAAGGTAAATTACAAAAAATGCAGAGCAGGGAATGTTAATTTGAAATGAGGTTACCTTTATTTTAACATGTTTTTTTTTCGGGTAAGGTCATCGGTTGGGGGCTTTATTTAGACAACGGAACAGGAAATAAACATGGGATACAGTGTGGTATGTTAGCAAAATACAACTCTGCTTCAAGACAATTTTTCTTGTGTTGACGTCAGATTAGGTTCTTCGCTCGAACGTTGCCTCTTGACGTAACATGGCCCTGATTCTGTTCATTTCGATTAAACTTGGAGACTAAAAATTAGCAACTTTGAATAAATTTGTTTACCACGAATATTTTTGATTTTTTTTAACTTCATATATTAATGGCCCTTTGGGCTAGGTAACTGTGTTAATTTAATATAAATAAAAAATAAATTACGCTGAAAAGTAAATAATCGTATATGATGAGTAATTTTTGTTCACTTCTGTTATATGCCTGACCGTCCTATTCAAAACTAATAAACGAATATAAGGATCGTTTACGTTCATGCATAAAACGTTGCAAAATCTTAGGACTGATATATTTTTCATATTGTTATTTATTATATTTTTTATATATAAATATATAGAATAATTCGCTGATAATTTTGTTATGTATTTAGTTTTTTAGATTAATCTAGTTATAGGATGTTTTTATATTGTTGTATGTTAATATAAGTTTTTGGCCATGTTGGCTTATATATATTGAATTGTATGAAATAATAATGAACCACCCTAACAATGTGCCTTATTTCTTGCATTTTGAAAATAGCAATAAGAATAGATAACTTCGTATTGGAATTGGTAAAAGGGTAGCAGTTATATTAAACCTAATCATTGATAAGAACAACATTGATAAGCGCTACTGGTGTTCACATTATCATTAATATTTTTGGCCATTTTCCGAAGACATACGTAAATATCAACATTAGTAAATCAATACTTAGTGTTTATGACGGACTGTTTGTCGTTATTTGTCATGTTCATATAAAAGAAAACAACTTTTCTTTCGGACTTCGTACAAGAAAGAATGGACATTTTGTTAAATCCCATCCTTGCTATCCTTTTTCTTTTTGAACTTATTGGAGATTGCTGTGTTTTTGGATTTGAGGATAATAGTTCCAGCATACTTGTTCAAAGTGACGCAGATCCATTTACGGTGGGGAGTTCATACGAAGAGTTCCATGTAGATCACACCTCAGGATATGAAGTCGAAATAGTGGAAAATCCACCTGAGACAAATCTGAACATTCTTTACAACTTTGAGCCATTAATTTCAAAACTTAACCATGATTATAGCTATACGTGCTTACTGGACGAATTTAAAAACACTTTGCTGTGGTGGACTTTTCCCAATGGAACACTTAAAAATAAGAGTTATATGCTTGCATGTATGTTGATTCCATGTTATTCGAATTTATAAACATGTATATAATTGGTGATAATTTTAGCGGCAATTAAATATCTGGATTTATCGCATCAACAAACATTCAGTGATGAGGAATTGTTAAAAAAGATCGGTACATTTGGTGTACCTGATGTACATGTTTCCGTTTTCTCAGCAGCCCATAATAACTTGTCCCACGTTCCATATAACGCATTGACTGTTATGTCCTTAGATCTGAAATTTCTTACACTAAGCGGCAATAACTTTAATGTTATGGTACCCGACTACGGAGGAAACGGTAAGTTTGTTAAACACAACTTGGGTGTAATCGAAACGGCAGCATTTTTAATGGGGTTAATTAACCAACATACTATAGGTTGCCTGATTTCTGTCCAATATGCTTTAAACCCTGTCATCGTTTTCATTATTTCTCTGTTATTCCACTATAGGAAAAGAAACCATTACATGGGCAACATTCCCGATTTTACCTACACTAAAAGAGCTGGATATAAGTAATTGCAAAATTCAACATTTAACGAGAGAATCTTTTCGAAATTTAACCAGCCTGACAAGGCTCTACATGTCCAACAATAAAATCCTAGAATTGCAATCCGATGTATTCCTCCACGTCTCGTTGTTGCAGTATTTGGATTTATCTTTTATGAATGTCTTTGATTACACGTCTATTCCAACACAAACACTTAATACCCTTTATAGGCAATTATACGGACTCAAAATACAGCAACTGACATTTAAACATGTGCCTAACCTTAAGTATTTAGATTTTTCACACACGAAGTTATCTAAAAACAGTGCTGTCGCTTTCACCCATCTCGGCAACAGTTTAAAATATCTCAGTCTATGTTACACCGCATTCCCCATGATTGGCAATGCTTTGTTAAGGAATACGGCACTTGTTGCCCTGGACATGTCAGGAAATTCTTTAGCTGCATATAATATAATCGATGATGCATTTGAAGGTGTCTCGGAGACGTTGAGTGTGCTCTTTTTTGAATTATCAAACTTGAAAAATATATCTTGGGTCCGTAACCTTAGTAACCTGCGGATACTAGGATTGGCCAATAATAATATAAATTCAATAACATTTGAAACATTCACTAATTTAACAAACCTAGAAGTGCTCGATCTCAACACAAATCACATAGGCAATTGGTATAGTCGAGTTTTCACTAATAACGAAAAACTTCGTGTCCTTAACCTCAGAGACAATAATATCAATATTATTACTTCAGAAATGCTTAAAGATTTTAGTTTATTAAATTTTTTGAGTCTTGGCGACAATAACTTTGTGTGTGACTGTCTATTAAGGGATTTGGTTGATGTTAGCAATTCAAATAATAGAAACTTGGAATGCGCTCACGAAATAATCCAGGAAGCTCTGGAGTATACATGCGACAACCTCTCTGAGAACAAAACAGTGGCCGATGTAGTAGCTTCACATACACTGAAAAGATTAAACAACAGAAGAAAAGGCGCATATCCTGTACAAAACATGAATCTGTCAGCAGCTTTTAGAAAACTTCGATTTCACTTCAATATGTCTGGGATGTATCCAAAAACGTGTTCCTCTGTTACTCCTCAAGCAAGCCCGGTAATGATGAATAAGCTTAACGAATCGACAATGTTGAAGTTGCAGCTTTTAGATTATGAAGATGCTCGTTATTGGTGCTTTAACGAAACGGAAAAATTGGGCTTTTTCGATCTGAACTGCCACCAACGGTCTCTTGTCGAAGATATAGTTCATCAACTTGATAACCTCACTTATTACGTTGTTGTGATCGTCGGAACATTACTGGCTGTTACTGTGGTCGGTGTAATCATTTATGTAAAGCGTTGGCACATATACTATTACTATTCTTCCATTAAATCCGCCGCTTTGATGTCAGAGGCTGTAAAAGAGAACGATGAGAGCCTTCGGTCCTCCCACGAAAATGGAGGCGTAAACATGATATACGACATATTTATTAGTTACTGCCAAAGTGATCGCGACTGGGTGCTCACTGAACTAATGCCCAATGTTGAAGATAATGGTGATATTAAGATTTGCCTGCATGAACGGGAACTTTCAGGTAATGTATGTTTTTTGATATCGCATTACGCTATAACTAACTCAAGGGCTCAAATTTTAACTTTGCTTTGAGACCTCTTGCTTACAATACAACAAAATCTTAATTTATAACTCTTTAAGATCGGCGTTACAATTCTGGATAACATAATATCATGTATGGATAGGTCCCGTTCGTTAATGCTCATAATATCATCTTCATTCCTTCTTAGCCACTGGTGCCAGTTCGAAATGCACTTGGCACAGCGAAGGTAAATTGAGTTAGTAAAATATTATTTTTGCATAATTTTATTGCCATTTCCAGGATGTTTGATGTGTGTAGAGATTGTTTGATTCTTGTCTTTTGGAAGAAATACCAAGACATAAAAGACCGAAAAATTGCAGTACCTAATGGATGTAAAGACATATATAAGTGGCCAGGAGGTAAAAATAATAACAAATCCCGCCCAGAAGAATGCAGAATTTTCTGGAAGCGGTTAAAACGTTCAATGCAAAGAATTGCTTCTGATGGTGTTCAATAATGGAATTCGGTAAACAAGTAATACGATGCGATAACTTTCTAGTATATCTATGTGTTGTACTTAAATAAATGCGTGCCCATATACACCATCTTACCAAAATATGTACTGTTGCATAACCGTATTTCCAAAATTCACAAGGTCCCTATATCCATTAAATAAATGTGTTACGTAAGTTACACACCGTCTTGCAGCAAAACAGTTTGAAATAAATAAATTCAGTTTTCACACAAATAAAAAAGCAAAAATACGGAGGGTTAAAGGTACAAATGTTCAACTTTAGTAAAACCATGCCGGACTTCATATATTTATATTGTACAATGGCTAAAATAGTGCAACCACACATTTATTTAAGTATAGCCTTAGTATTTTTAAAAATAAAAATAATATAAAAGAGTGCGAGTAAATCCCAATATTTCGTTATATCTTTAAATGTTTATATGCACAGCAATATATTTTTAGGAAGAATGTACCTGATGTCCTCTCAATTCTTATTCGAGAAAAACTTAGTAGGCAAGTAAATAATATTCAATTTTACGGAAATACTTGTTTTTATATTGTGTTGTGACTATGTTAGTACTGACGAGCATTCATTTTTTATTTAAGTATAAGTATAATATAAAAACTAGTTTATTTTAATTCCAGCAATATTATTATCCAGAATGTACCTGATATCTTCATAAATCTTATGCGAGAAAATCTTATTGCACATAGATTTAAACTTCTATGTTTATTTGTAGTTGAAAATGATGTTATAAATAAATTGGCAATAGCAATTTATAACGTAGACTGACTCCAAAATGCCTAGTTGCACCTTAAAACGTTCACGGGGAAGAACATTACGAATTTTGAGATGTTAGAAAATGTCTGATAAGTTCGTGGATAAAAAACAAATGTGTAGGCCAAAACAATCACAGAAGAAATGACTACTGCTGAAACTACTGACTACTGTTAAAACAGTAACCTTCTTTTGAAAGCTTTGCACACCAGCTTATTTTTATTGTGTTCCCGTACATTTTAAGTGTTAAAACTAGTAAAATAGCTGATGACTTATACCAGAAATATTTATCACTTTAGACATGTAAAACACTGGCAGGATATTCAGCCTCATAAATCCTCCACCATTATAATTCTTCCAAGTAATCCATAGCAGCTGAGTTCGACATATACCTTATAGGCCAAACACAGTCATTACTTTGCCTTATTTTCTACCTTTGGAAATGTCATACGATAAAAGAATGTGTTGGCTCTATTCAGATACAATCATATGATCAAATTTGAAAACCATTACTCTATAGCTGGTGTCTTGCAAATTCAGGTAAATATGACTATGGACGGTATAATAAAATGTATTGTGATTTGTCAATTCTCACGGTTAAATGTGAGAATATAGAATGATTTTTTCTGGCGTGGGAAATCGACTGGATTTTCCCAAAAACACAAAGGAGTTTTAGATGACTTAGTTCAATTTCGGCCCAAAGTTTCACTAGATCACCCTTTGTTTCTTTAAGAAAGAAAGCTGATAGCTATACAGAAAAAAATCCATTATTTGTTTCTGTTAGAAACCATTAGTAGAGCAATATGATGTGTTTCAGTAATATTTACCCGGCGTGTTCTTTTTAAATAGTACGAACATGAACCTGGTCCAAAACTTATCTTAAAACGCCTAATTAAAACAGATCGAAAGAGCAAAATCTTACTGGTCATTTGTTTCCCAGTGATACACAATATAAGATAACATCGAATTGTTCATGGTAGAAGAATTAGGTAGATGCATTAACGCATAGGAACATTGATATGTCAACATTTTAAAAATGTTTTGTCAAAAATAAGTAGTTTGTATATGTTTTCTATATGGCGCAAATCGGAGGTTGACATAATGTATTTTTCAACAATTTTTACAAACTTCAATAATTTTCATTCAACATTTTCAATTTCAAAATCAGTTTGACAGCTCTTTGTCCCAGCAGCTGTGTCGATGCGATTACCTTTATTCTTCTACCATGGAATTGTTTCAAAATATTTAGTGTTCAGACAGGGTTATACTTTACTATTTTTGTAAGTTAACTATTTTTATACTTTAGCAAAGCAATTGCCAATTTTTTCGTCACCTGTCAGATATTTTTCTTCGGCGATCTG